GTCTAAAAAAAAAAAAAAAAAAAAAAATACAAAAATTAGCCAGACATGGTGGCACATGCCTGTGATCCCAGCCACTCAGGAGGCTGAGGCAGGAGAATTGCTTGAACCTGGGATGCAGAGGTTGCCATGAGCCGAGATTGCACCATTGCACTCCAGCCTGGGCAAAAAGAGCGAAACTCCATCTCAAAAAACAAACAAACAAAAAACCAACAGCCAACTGCACTCCAGCCTCAGCGACAGAATGAGACTCTGTCTCAAAAAAAAGAAAGAAAAAGACTTGATGCTAGTGTGCTGGGAAAAAAAAAAAAAAAAGAAAAAGACTTGTAAACTTGGTAAATTTTTAGATTATCTACTAAAGGTGACATGGAAAACTGGTAATGGGTTGTCTGGTCGGGGGGAGAACCAGCAGTGTGGAGTAAAAGACTTTTTAATAAGGCCTATTGCCACAGTTCACAACTGCAATCCTAGAGTGGGGAATATTGCTTGAGCGCAGAAGTTCATGACCAGACTGGGCAACATAGTTAGACACCATCTCTACAAAAATTTTTTTTAGAAATTAGCTGAGTGTGGTGGCACACTCTGCAGTCTCAGCTATTCAGGAGGCTGAAGCTGAGGGATCATTTGAACCCAAGGAGTTTGAGGCTGCAGTCAGCTGTGATCACACAACTGCACTCCAGCTTGGGTGGCAGAGTCCCTGACTCAAAGAAAAAAAAAGACTTTTCAATACATATCCTTTAAATTATTCTACTTTGTGCATGTACTATTAACGGTTCATAATCCAAACATTACAACTTAACGAGCAAAGTTTCCCTCTGACCTGTCTGCCTGCCACTGTTACTTCCTCTAAAAGACAAATACTGTTACTAATTCCTATGTCTCTTTCTAGAGACACGCATCTAATATTTCACCTTTTCACTTAAACAAGTACTTTGTAACATGTTCAATTAATGGTGAATAAACAGCCACTGAAACTTACTCATCATCCTCCTCCTCTCGCTTGTGTTTCTTTTTACAGTGAACAGAAACACTGTTGAAACAAACAAAAATCAGTCAGTGGAAAAATGTACTTGACACTGGTTTCAGTATCAGTATCCTCTTTCTTGCTACAATTATCTTGCTCATCCCCACATACCAAAACTTCCCTTTCCGAGCCTAGTGGGATGGGTACAGATCACAGGTCAGTCGGGTCAACTGTGGATTGCCCCCACTTACCTGGACATTGAAATCTCAACTTGCCGTTTTGTCAAGGTAATGGGAGACAGATATGGGAGGACCAAACCAGGGAAAACGTCCTCTGGGCAGGAGCTGTGCTAAGCACTTTATTTGCATAATCTCACTAAGAGGACCCACTTCTGTCCCACGCTTGGCATGCTTCGCAGACGAGACACTGAAAGTTGTCACTAACAGCGGCCATGCGGAGGGGGCACCCAGACGGAGTCGCCCAGGTTCCAATTGGCAAAGACTCACTTCTCGGGGACGAAGTTGGGCCGAGGTTCGCACCGGACTCCTGGGCTGTGCGACCCAAGGCGACTTACAGTTAACGTCTCTGTGGATCAGTTTATCTGTAAACTGGGCTGCGAAGCTCCCGCGGAGGGTCGTGTGGAGGGAGGGTCAGTGAGCAAGCCACCGCCAGGAGCCCGAGCCCGCGCCCGCCGCGAGGGGCGCCCAACCTGCCCGCCCGCCCTGCGCCCTGCGCCTGACTGGTCCTCACCGTCCGCGCGCCGCACTCCCGCCGGGGTTGCTGGGGACGACGCGGGGTCCCAGCCGCGGGGCCAGCTCGGCGCCGTCCGCCCCCGGCGGGAAGGCCCGGCCGGGGAAGGCAGGCGGCGGCGGCTGCAGGAAGTCCGAGCTGCTGCTCAGGGGGAGGCCGCTGAAGGGCCGGCCGAGCGCAGCCATAGCCGGTGACACCAGGAGGCTGTGACCGCGGCCTCGGCCGCCCGTGTCCCCAGGCCTGGCAGCTGCAGCCACAGCGACTGCCGAAAGGCGCCCGCCTCCGAGCCCGCTCTCGACCCCACGTCACGCCTTCTAGAACCCTCCACCTCGGGCCACTCAGGAGCATGCCGGGATTTGTTGTGTGTAGAGGGCCTCTGCCGCGAGGGATGCCGGGCTTTGCAGTCCTTCCAGACTACAAATAAAATGGCTGCTTCTCGACCTCTTCTCTGGGGCTTGAGGGTGGCTGACTGGCCGAGCCTATGACTTCTGATCAAATCCTCACCTTTCAAGTTTCGTAACTTCTCTGTACCTCAGTTTCCACAGTAGTAAGATGAGATAATAATAGTACATATAATCATAGAGTTGCTGTGTGGAGTAATGAATTTTTTTTTTTAATTTTTGAAACGGAGTTTTCTTCTTGTTGCCCAGGCGGGAGTACAATGGTGCGATCTTGGCTCACTGCAACCTCCGCCTCCCGGGTTCAAGCGATTCTCCTGTTTCAGCCTCCCGAATAACTGGGATTACAGGCACGAGCCACCATGCCCGACTGATTTTTGTATTTTTAGTAGAAACGACCTTTCGCCATGTTGACCAGGATGATCTCGATTTTCTGACCTCATGATCTGCTCGCCTCGGCCTCTCAAAGTGCTAGGATTACAGGCGTGAGCCACCGCGCCCAGCCAAATGCATGAATTTAAACACCTAGAGCCGGGGCGGGGCGTTGGCTGGCTCCTGTCATTCCAGCAATTTGGAAGGTGGAGGCGGAAGGATCTCTTTTTTTTTTTTTTTTTTTTTTTTTTTGAGACGGAGTTTCGCTCTTGTTACCCAGGCTGGAGTGCAATGGCGCGATCTCGGCTCACCGCAACCTCCGCCTCCTGGGTTCAGGCAATTCTCCTGCCTCAGCCTCCTGAGTAGCTGGGATTACAGGCACGCGCCACCATGCCCAGCTAATGTTTTGTATTTTTAGTAGAGACGGGGTTTCACCATGTTGACCAGGATGGTCTCGATCTCTTGACCTCGTGATCCACCCGCCTCGGCCTCCCAAAGTGCTGGGATTACAGGCTTGAGCCACCGCGCCCGGCCCAGAAAATTTTTTATATTTTCTACTAAAATATAAAAAATTAGCTGGGTGTGGTGTGCGCCTGTAATCCCAGCTACTCCAGAGGCAGAGGCAGGAGAATCACTTCAACCCAGGAGGCGGAGGTTGCACTGAGCAGAGATGGTGCCACTGCATTCCAGCTTGGGCGACAGAGCGAGACTACGTATCAAAAAATAAAACAAAAAAACACAATTGCACTGCAAGGTAGTTTACGCCTATAATCCCAGCACTTTGGGAAATGGGAGGATGCAGAGCCATAGCCCTGCAGGGTCGTGGGGTGTCCCTTATTGCTGTACTGAGGCGCTGGATCAGAGAGGTAAAGGGACAGGACACAGAAGGACTGGAAAAGACTGCTGGGCTTAGGGGGGCCACGCCACTTACAAGCAGAGACAGGTGAGGCTCCGAACGTCCAGAAGCGTCTGTATTAAGTACAAGACGGGAAAGTGTCACGAGTTAGTCATCTATGGGCATAATGATAGGGCATACATAATCACTTGAGTAGCAAGAGGGGGCTACCCCGTTAGGTCACCTAGTCAGAGAGGTGGGCTCTGCACAGTAGGGGGCCAGGCCGTGTGCAGTAGTAGAGGGTCGTGTGCAAAAAAGGGAGTCCACCCCTATTAGGTCATCAAGGCAAGGAGGTGAGCTGTGTGCGGCAAGTGCCCTGCGCAACACTTATCTGGGGGCTGGAGACTTCAAAGGATTCCTATGGAAGGATGCTATAAACCAATGCAGTGAGAGTTGACAGAGTGTGCTCTTCTCTAAGATATTTTACTGGAGGATTTGAGCCAGCACAGAAGTGAGAAAAGCTGACAGAGTATACAGCCGCCATGGTGCGATTACACCAGAGGGGTTCTTTTCCGCCGGTTGTTTGCAGGATCTCAGGCCTGAAGCCTACTTTCCACAAGAGCTGGATGCAAGGTACTACAACTCCTTTTTAGTAGGTATAGCTCCTGCTCCAAGCCCGCCATGCAGGTGGTACTGAGTGCTGCCGTCTAGGTCCTGACCTGCTGTATAGCGTGTGCCCTTTCAGGCAAGTGCACTACAGCCTGGGTCATTGTTTCTTGTCCTGGTCTGGCTGTTTTTCCCATGTATTTGGTTCTGCTCGGTGACTGCTCTAGGCATTCCTCTTATTACATGGTTATAAAGAAGGATTATATAAATTAGCACTAAATGTGCCAGAAGTCTGTACAGCTCTGACTACAATCCGTTATATGATTATATAGAAAGGTTATATGGAACTAAGTATAATTGTATATATAAGCTAGATATGAGTAAGCAGTAAGTTATGCTTCAGGCACTAATTGTACCTGGGGTCTGCACAGCTCTCCTTCCTTGGTGCCCATGTTGGGGGTTACCCACAGGAGGTGGGAGGTTGGTGGTGGGAGAACTGCTTGAGGCCAAGAGTCCACCCTAGGCAATATAGCTAGATCCTATCTCAACAACAAAAAAATCAAAATTAGTCCAGCATGGTGGTGCACGCCTGTAGTCCCAGGTACTTGGGAGGCTGAGGTGAGAGGATCACTTGAGCCCTTGAATTTAAAGTTACAGTGAGCTATAATCACATCACTGCACTCTAATTTGTGATTCGGTATCTTTATTTTTTTTTTTTGAGTCAGGGTTTTACTTGCTGTGAGTGACAGAGCAAGACCTTGTCTCAAAAAAAAAAAAGTAAACTCAGAGAGGTCGGGCGCGGTGGCTCACGCCTGTAATCCCAGCACTTTGGGAGGCCGAGGCGGGTGGATCATGAGGTCAAGAGATCGAGACCATCCTGGTCAGCATGGTGAAACCCCGTCTCTACTAAAACTACAAAAAATTAGCTGGGCATGGTGGTGCGTGCCTGTAATCCCAGCTACTCAGGAGGCTGAGGCAGGAGAATTGCCTGAACCCAGGAGGCGGAGGTTGCGGTGAGCCGAGATCGCGCCATTGCACTCCAGCCTGGGTAACATGAGTGAAACTCTGTCTCAAAAAAAAAAAAAATAATATCCTTTTTTCATGAATTCATGTCCTTTGCAGGGACGGTCATGGATGAAGCTGGAAACTGTCATTCTCAGCAAACTAACACAGGAATAGAAAACCAAACACTGCATGTTCTCACTCATAAGTGGGAGTTGAACTATAAGAACACATGGAAACGGAGGGGAACATCACACACTCGAGGCTGTTAGGGGATGGGAGGCTAGAGAAGGAACAGCATTAGAAGAAATACCAAACGTAGATGACAGGTTGATGGGTGCAGCAAACCACCATGACACTGTATACCTATGAAATAAACCTGCACGTTCCGCACATATATCCCAGAACCTAAAATATAATTAAAAAAAAATATATATATATCCTTTTTACCAGCCTTGGTTACCAAAGAGTCTTGCTGACTCTGAGGTTTAGGAAAAAAAAAAAAAAAGTAAAAAATATTTTCCAGGCTGCGTGGTGGCTCACATCTGAAATCCCAGCACTGGGCCGGGCGTGGTGGCTCATGCCTGTAATCCCAGCACTTTGGGAGGCCGAGGCGGGTGGATCACAAAGTCAAGAGATCGAGACCATCCTGGTCAACATGGTGAAACCCCGTCTCTACTAAAAATACAAAAATTAGCTGGGCATGGTGGCGCGTGCCTGTAATCCCAGCTACTCAGGAGGCTGAGGCAAGAGAATTGCCTGAACCCAGGAGGCGGAGGTTGCGGTGAGCCGAGATCGCGCCATGGCACTCCAGCCTGGGTAACAAGAGCAAAACTCCGTCTCAGAAAAAAAAAAAAGGAAAGAAAAAAAAAAAAGAAATCCCAGTTCAAGACAAGTCTGGGCAATATAGCAAGACCCAGTCTTTACAAAAAATGAAACGTAAAAATTTAGCCGGGCATGATGGTGCATGCCTGTTGTCCTAGCTACTCCAGAGGCTGAGGCAGGGGGATTGCTTGAGCCCAGTAGATGAAGGTTGCAGGAAGCCATGATCATGACACTGTACTTCATTCAGCCTGGGTGAGAGAGTAAAGCTCTGTCTCAAAAATCAAAAACAAAAACAAAAACGGGATTTCCCATCTGGGGTCCCCTTCCACACACTCTCTCTCGTGAAAGCTTTCCCTCCTTTTTCCCTTTCTCTACCTAAATAAATAACTTTCTGAAAAAAAAAAAAGAAAAAATATATATTTATAAACAGAGAGTCATGGCTGGGTGTGGTGGCTCACGTCTATAATCCCTGCACTTTGGGAGGCCTAGGCGGGCAGATCCCCTGAGGTCAGGAGTTCAAGACCAGCCTGGCCATAACGGTGAAACCCTATCTTTTTTTTTGAGACAGAGTTTCGCTCTTGTTACCCAGGCTGGAGTGCAATGGCGCGATCTCGGCTCACCGCAACCTCCGCCTCCTGGGTTCAGGCAATTCTCCTGCCTCAGCCTCCTGAGTAGCTGGGACTACAGGCACGCGCCACCATGCCCAGCTAATTTTTTGTATTTTTAGTAGAGACGGGGTTTCACCATGTTGACCAGGATGGTCTTGATCTCTTGACCTCGTGATCCACCCGCCTCGGCCTCCCAAAGTGATGGGATTACAGGCTTGAGCCACCGCGCCCCGCCGAAACCCTATCTTAAAAAAAAAAAAAAAAAAAAAAAAAAAGAAAAAGAAACTCGTCTCTATTAAAATACAAAAATTAGCTGGGCGTGGTGGCGGCGCCTGTAATCTCAGCTACTAACAGGCTGAGGCAGGAGAATCGATTAAACCTAGGAGGCAAAGTTTGCAGTGAGCCAAGATCATGCCACTGCACTCTAGCCTGGGCAACAAAAGCGAGATTCCATCTAAAAAATAAAAATTAAAAGAGAGTCATACTCTATATTATTCTGAACTTGCTTTTCTACCTAATTATATTTCTTGAATATCTATCTAAATTAATTCTCTCATTCTTTTTTTTAATCACATGGGAGGAGAAGGAGAGAGGGAAGAAGAGAGGGAGAGAGGAGGGAGAAAGAATGAGAGTGAGAGCCAGAGAGCCAGAGAGAGAGAGAGAAGAGAGGGTGAGCGTAGGGTGGAGTATAGAGACACCTTTGGCAGGCCCCAACCCTGAGCTCCTGGAAGGGGAGGCACGCACAAGCAATCTTTTCTTT